AAGGGGAAAGGGGGGCCGCTGCGGCTGACCGCGAGCCTGCAGGGCGGAGCCTGTAGGCGGCGGGAACTAAGCTCAGGGGACTGGGCCTGAGGCGTGGGCGGGGCCTGAGCAAGGGAGTGGCAGTAGCGTCTGCTTCGGACTGCGATGCCGCCGGGGGGGGGTCTCTACGATGGGAACGAGTTTCGGGGGGCGGCAGCGTGGGCGGGGCCGAGGAGGGAAGAGAGGGCCCTGCAGCTGAACGCGATGTTGGGGGTGGGGCCAGTAGGCGGCAGGAGGGAGGTTGGGGCGGGGCCTCCCAGCAGGCGGGGTTTGAGGAGAGGGCACAGTGAGGCGGAGGAGTGGGACTGGCCGCGGAGTGCGAGGGTGGGGGCGGGAACTAGGGTCGTTCCCCCTTTCCACATCTGTCCTATTTTGAGGGTGTGACTGCTGTGCGTGATCAGTCTCCACTGTCTGGCAGGAGGGGAGGAGAGAAAAGGGGACAGATGGCATTAACACCTCCTGCACTTAAGGAGCTTGGGGTATGTATTAGTATCCTCCCTTACTACTTTGTCCCTCTGGCTGGTGCTGGAATGGATCTGCATTCTGTTCCCACCTCCATCGTCCTGTTTCCTAAGGGGGTTGTTCTCCTTCCTCTCACCAAGGGTTGAAAGAGGTTGGAAACAACAATTAGCCACCAACATCTTTGAGATACGGGGTATGCCCTAGTGCACTGGTTCTCCACCTTTTCAGACACAAGGCACCTCTTGAAAAAGACCAACTCCTAGCTTTCACTCATTTTTTTTTTAACTACTGAAAAGTAATAGAGCAATTCTTCTGTTCAAAGAACATGGAAAGACCACAAGTGAGAATGTTGTTTGTAATGTGGATTCCTATCTGAAATTTAAGCTTATGAATCGTGTAGGTGTTTGCACAGGTAGCAGCCAGCGCTGATACTCCAGTTGAGAACTGACCTAGCGTTTGCAGCCACAGCCAAGTCTATATGGGTAAACACTTATGGACGCATTCGCATATCATGTGGATGTTTGGTTCCCTCAGGGACAACTAGTGGCAGCACAACTTGTGCTGCCTTTGGTTGTACCTGGGGAATGCCCATGCCACATGTGCTCTGGCACGTGGCACGTTACCCCCAGGGCAGTAGGGGAGGCTAGGACCAGTACTGAGCTGGCCCTAGCAGCCTTACCTGGGGGCCTCCCAGGGCAGCAGCAGTGGCAATTCTACCGTGCAGAGTCTTGCTGGCAGCCACAGAACAGCTCTAGCTGGCCCAGCTCTGGTTTTCACTGACACATACTACACCTGCGTGTGCCACTCTCCTTTTTTTTTTTTTTTT